CCCCTGACCTATCAAATCACATAACCAGAATGACTGCTTCAGGATACAAATATGAGACAATCCAGGACTATCAAAGTTATTCCCTCCTAAATAATGAAAGTCAGAGGAGAGGAGAAGCACAGTGTACCCCAGACAAAAATACAGAATCTACAGACAACTGAAATAATTTTGCAGAGTCAGTATATGGAGCCAAATTCCACTTAATTTCCACATAGGCACAAAACTTTACACCTTAAAAGTCATCTCATTCAATCCTTCCATTTTCCAAATAAATTAAGTTCCAGAGAATAAAAATTATATAAAATATTCACATATAATGAAGTTGGAATCAGATTTGACTATCAAGTTAGAAAATGTTTTTGGATATTCATAAAAACTAGATAAAGAGACTATAACTTTGTGTTTGTTTTAGGTAGTCAAAAATCATGTTGTTTCTTGTATCGAAGAAAAATATTCAACTTTAATTCAGTATTTCCAAAACTTCTTTACCATGATATACTTCTTAAACCAAACAACCCATCATCAACAATAAAAATAGTATTTGTAAAATATATTTTGGGGAACACTATTCTAATCTATCCTGAGAACTAAGTAACAATTTCCAGATCTGTGTTTACTAGAATCACTTACTTACACAACAAGGTCAAGGACTTCCACTTCCATACTGTTTATTTGATCCACAACCTAGAATAGTATCTATCACACAGTAGAACCAATAAATATTTGCTGAATGAATAAATACAGTCCCCACAACAAGAGCTACATGAAGAGACTAGATTAAATTGTTTTTATTTATATTTATAGATGAGAATGATGAGGCTTAGAAATGTTAACTAACTTTGCAAAGATTACACAGCCAGAAACTATGGAACTAAAACTTAAACACAAGTCTTCAGGTTCCTCAATGTTTATTCCTTCAATGTATAAAAATATATTTAGCTTTGCAATGAACTCAGTTGTCAACATATATTTGCTCTGGTAGGTTACCTACCACCAGCAGTAAGCTAAGAAGTAAGTAATAAACATATAACTCTTTGAAAGGATTCATGTTTTATAAGTATGAATTATTACATGATACAGGATTGAAAAATAGTCAATGTTTACATCTTAAAAATGTTTTACAGGGGTTGGGGGTTTAGTTCAGTGGTTCTGCCACCTGCCTCACAAGTGGAAGGACCCGAGTTCGATCCCCGGAACCAAAAAAAAAAAAAAAAAAAATGTTTTACAGTAAAACACATTGCCTTAATCCCTCTCAAGATACTCCCCCTCACTTCAAACACACTTATGCCACAATTCTTACTACTTTCAGAAGCAGTTCTGCAAGCCCTCTTTCATGATTGTCTTTAGTTGTATTGTCCTGACTGACTTAATGTTCTGAATTGATTCAAAAGGTTTACCTTTCATGGTTCTTTGACCTTGAGAAAGAGCCAGAAATCCCACAATGCCAGATCCAATGAATAAGGTGGATGAAGACACTTCATAATGTTATTAACAGCACACATTTCCAATGGATGGAACTTGTCGGCAGCAGTCACCTTATTTTTTATATCTCACAGACATAAAAAAAGGACTTCCAGAACTGTTACAGAAAGTGGCAAGACCAATGGTGTGTGTTTCAATTGAGGATGAGTAATATGAGCAAGACTAATGACAATGTATGCTTTACTACAGTTAATTTTTAAAAATTTAAACTTTTTATTTAAATAAAATTAATAAAATTTTGACCATCTACATTTAGATGATTACATTGTGCAAAAAAAGCCATCGTACTTTTTAACACCTATCACAGAAAAAAATGTATTTGATTTACATTTTGTTTGGGTTCTAATTTTGAGAAAACTCAGTAGGTAAATCAAATATTCTTTGTCTTACTGATTTACAAACAACTTTAGTTAGTGGGTCTTTTCCATTAAGACACTACAAACATTTTAGAAACTGACTTATACCACTTTCTAAATTCTGCTCTCAAAGACCTAAGTTTATAGCTTAGTAGTGTAAAAAAGAACCAAGATTAAATAGAAAACCACCCTTTGGCAGTATCACAGTAATAATTCAGCCAAGAAACATCAATAGATGCTAAAACTAGAGGGTGAAAGTCTGATGAGGAACAATATCCAAATAGTATCAAAGAAATACCTTCAAATCAAAATAATTATAATACAAATGAAAATACTTATTAATTTTAAAGGGGAAAAAACAATTTTGTAACAGAGACATAGCATACACAACTTTAATCAAAGGGTAAGAGTACATACATTAAAAAATAAGGTCTACTTGAGAAGATGTAAAAAGAATATATCAATCTTTCTGGGACATGCCTGATGAAAAAAGTATAACCTGAATCTAATCATGAAGAAATGTCCAAGAATACTGAGGCACACTGTACAAAGTAAGTAACATATAGGTTTTATAATTTATCCAATATGAAAGTCAAGAAAAGGCTCGGGAACTGTTCCAGTTTTAAGGATTATAAAAGAAATACCACATCTAATTAACAAATAAGATTCATGATAAAAAGCAAAGTTTAGTAGTACAGGAAAACTACCTCATTTATAGAAGAAAATACATAAAAAGTGTGTGTATGTGTGTGTGTGTGTGTGCGTGTGTGTGTGCGCGCGCGTGTGTGTGTACACAATGGAATACCCGGGAGAGATTGGGCACAATGTTAACATCTCACTGTCAAATGGTTACAAAGCAAAAATACCCTTGGTACTATTCCTTTTGTTCTGCTTGGTTTTGCAACACTGAGGATTGAACCTAGGTCCTTGAAAATGCTAGCCAAGCATTTTAACACTGAAATACATTCCTAATCCTGTACTATTCTTTTTTTGGGGGGTGGGGGGGGGTACCGGGGATCGAACCCGGGTCCTTGCACTTGCAAGGCAGGCAGTGGAACCACTGAGCTAAATCCCCAGCCCCCTGTACTATTCTTTTTTAAAAAGGTAAAAAAGAAAAGCTTCAAAACATGAAATCAATATATATTTCTATCATCTGTGATATTCATGTGGGTTTGAGACAAAAGATTTTTGAACTAACTACCTTTTATTGCTGCTTTTTTAGTTTTCTGGATGAATAAGTTCCAAAAGGGTTGGGAGATTCTAATATTTATGAGAATTTTCAGGAATATCACAATGACAGACCTAGGCAGTATGGAAGAAGAAAAATATAGGAGGAGTAGGGGAAAAGAAAGAAGGGAATGGAATTAATATGAGAAAATGAAAAAATGGAAACAAAGTCTTTGTAAATAGGGAGGGATGGAGGGGTTGAAGGAGGGGTAGGCAAATGGGGGAAAAAATAAGAACCAAGAGAGAATATGTAAAGGTGCAAATTTCCAATGATGAATGTCATTATATTGTATACCTAAAATGTACCTATAAAATTAATATAAAATAAATAAAAGAATAAAAATAAAAGAAAAACTGGAACCTGGGGCCAGGGATTTAGCTCAGTGGTTCCACTGCCTGCTTTGCAAGCGCAAGGTCCTGAGTTTGATCCCCCAGTATAAATAAATAAATAAATAGATAGATAAATAAATAACTAGAACATACTATCATAAGGAATAGCCTCTAGATTTACTCTTAAGTAGGTCTGTAGCAAATTGAAAGAAAGTGCTTCTCTAAAAGATGACTGTTATCGACAAAGCAGCAGCAAAGTGCATCCTTGCATGTGGTGTGAAGAACTGTTACTCTTCAGAGAAAATGAACAAGCCTAAAATCCTGTATTACCACAGATAGATAAAACTAGATTTTTATTGTTTCTTTAATTTCCATGATGCAATAATTCAGAATGTATTATTTAAAGTGGATATTCATATTTTAAATCAAACAATGAAATATTAGCATTAGGTTACAAAAATTCTCTGTAGAAGAGTTTCTTTAACATGATTGTCTAAACTTCTCAGGAAAGACTCTCTTGGGTTGGGAAAAGGGGTATGGAAAAATGCAGATTAATAAAGAAATACAGATTCCAAAATAAAAAGAAGGGCTTCTTTACTTGATTTCAATAAATATCCCAATAAAAATTTCTTACAGGTTTTTAAACTACTTCTTGTGCAGAAACAAGTTTAAACAGTAGGCGTAAAATTGGTACCCCTAGGAAAATCTACTTGTAAAATTGGCTTCTGGTTGATGTATGGGAACTTGGCTCTTGAGATAAATCCCATCGTTCTATGACTGAAAGACTGGCTCACTGTGCCTAAACTGTTTCTACAAAGAATGTAATTTATGCTGAACTCCTCTTTCCTTCTGAGTGGAATTTTGGTACATTTTAATCCAGAGGATGCCTATATGACTGTCCTCAATAAATATCTTGGACGTCTATGTTCAGGTAAGCTTCTCTGATAGATAATATTTCACAAGTGTGGTAAAACAACTCACTGGTAGAGGAATGAAGCATGTCCCATGGAACTCCATGGGGGAGGACTCCTTGAGCCCGACTTTCTCCAGACTTCAACCCATATGCCTTTTCCCTCCACCAATTTTGCTGGAGGTCCTTTGCAGTAATAAATCACAGCAGTGAATATCACCATATGCTGAGTCCCATGAGTCTTCCTAGTGAGTCATCAAATATAGGATGACGCTGGGGACTCCCAATACAATTCAATATAAAATTACTTCCTACAGAGGTCCAAGTGTTTCAAGTACACTGCTACATACATGTTAACAACTTGCAAGTAATAGCTTTAAGATGACAAAAGCTGTATCACTCACAAAACTATTTGCTTTTGGACCAGTGAAATTATATTCAACGATAATACAACATTCATTACATTAAATGCACATAATACTCATTCATTAAAATCATACAAACAGGGCCAGGGATTTAGCTCAGTGGTTCCGTGGCCTGCCTTGTAAGTACAAGGTCCTGAGTTCAATCCCCAGTACCAAAAACAAACAAACAACAACAACAAAAAAACCCAAACAAATTCAAATCCAAACTCAAATGAAACAGTCTACTATCCATCAAAATTTAGGTAGTGTATAAAATCAAAGTATTCTTACCATGTGGTGTGATTGTCTGTACAGGTTTTGCAGGGGACCTCACATTCCATATGGTCAAGGTGCCATCTGAATGACTGCATATAAACTGTTTTCCTTCATGATGCCAAGCAACAGAGTGAATAGCCTACAGAAGAAAGGCAAGGAATTCCATTATCAAACTATGAATAAACTATTATTCTGCAACTTTAACTTCAAGTTTTTAAAAGTGCTTTCCAAGATGAATAGGTTTAAACTTTATATTCCCATAAAAATTTAGCCCTGTGGCAATTCAGATTTTATTTCATATTGACACTATTTAATTACTTTTTATTATTTTGTCCTTAGAGCCAGCGTAAGGATGATGACAATGACTTATGCACTACTGACAAGTTAAGGAACACAAAATGTATCTTAATAGTTTTTTCAAATAAATCCTAGTTAAACATAAATTGCCAAGTTACTACAACCAATATTTTCCCATTGAAAAAATTAGCTGCATTGACAGTTTGGACCAAATTTTTTAAATTAAATTAAGAACCAAAGAAACAAAATATAGATTTGGAATATAGACATGTTCCCTATCTCTCAGTGATTATTAGGCTAGCTTTTTTTTTTTTTTTTCAGTACTGGGGATCGAACTCAGGACCTTGTGCTAAGAAGGCAGGCGCGGTGCCACTGAGCTAAATCCCCAGCACCTATTAGGGTAGCTTTTAATCTGAGAAAACCTTCTCCTAATGAGAATATTTTATACTTCTGAGTCACTTAAAAAAAACTTACCAGCTTAAAAAAACATTTTTATATAATGGAAAAATTTTTGCACTAATATTTATTATTTTTTTGTTTATAAATTAAAAACAAAATTGCTCCATTAGATTCCTTTTGAATTACTTGAAGTTGGTATGTTTTGTCATTTTTAATGGCCAACAGACTTTAAAAGCTGCCCAACTGAAATGTCAAACTGCAGAGTGTAGTGTAAAAACCATGCATCTGAAACTCAGAGTTCAGTATATACAAATTCAACATTTTCTATCATCTCATTAAAAGTCCAACTTATAAACTTAAGTTAAATAGTATAAAATATTTTTCTGCTAAAGACCAGAAGGAAATATTTAAATGATGACAAATACAGAGAATTAACTGTATTTCTAAGTACCAACAGTTAATATAATTTTTGAATCAAAGTAACTAAATTCTAAGTAAAATTCTAAAATAATAATAAACTAATTCCAAGATATATGTATGATACCCCCAAAAATTAAATCTTAAAATAAGCAATCTCTTCATAAGGTCTTTACAATGAAATTATTTCCACAAAATATGAGTAGTGCTGAGAAACTATAAATTATAATAAATTTCTTGAATATTTTTATAAAATTAATAAGAAATACAAGAGGCCTATAGTGCCACCTGGAACCTATAAAACATTCTAGTATTATTATATATAAATGTATACTATATACGTAATTATGTATAAATACAGAACTAATATTCTATTGATGAGGAAAACATATATCTCTGATTAAAGGTACCTTTTATATTTAAGATAATAAAAAAGAAAATAAATATGGACACGTACCACACACACTTTTTTACTGCCAGTTATACAATTATCTAAACACAAACCCAATGTGACATTTAATTTTAATAATCTCACTAATACTAAGCATTTATGTACATATAAGTATTTCATATAAAAAGTTTATGTGTACAATATCTAATATATAAATTATACATGTATAAAACATATAATTTAGACTTTTTCTTTAGTCTTCCTGAGAAAATAAAGTAGAAATTTAGATAAACAAAGTAGAAACAGTAAATTTCACAAATTAATTCTGCAATATGCTCAGAATAAGATACAAAATTAGTCAAAAGCAAACCTGAATAATTCAAGTAAGAAGATACGACACATAAAACAGGAAATACAAATTGGGGTTAAGGAATTTTGAGTGTAGGTTGTTTTCAAGAAGATACAAAATTTCCAGGAGACTAGGATATTACATAATATAAATAGTTAGAGATGAGTCAGAGAAATACATGGAAGAGATAAAGGGCAAGATGAATGGGAAACAGAAAAACAACATAGGAAGTGGGAGATAAACAACGGTCATAAAAGAACAAGATGAATTCTGTGTATAGCAAGCACAAGGACCGGAGTTCGATTGCCGGTACCAAAAAAAAAAAAAAGCTATTGGCACAACCCACAGAAGAACTATATACATAATTCTAAAACTTCTTTAAAAAATATAATGTTTTTCTAACAACTAAAAAAGCTCATGCAAGAGATAATGGGTTAAAAGTATGACATTAGTATTTTCATTCTTGGTAAAATTAAAAAGCAAAAGGATTGCCTACTATGTTTTTTGTTTTTTGTATTTTGTTCTGGAGATAAGATCTCGCCATGTAGTCCAGGCTGGCCTTCTCAAACTTGTGATGATTCTCCTTCCTCAGCCTCCCAAGTACTGGGATTATAGATGTGCACCACCACAACCGGCTATATTTTTAAAGAGGAGTAACTACCAGGCTTTGCCAAAAGTAGCACATATGTTTTGTGACACTGTTTCAAAGAAGAGGGAATTTTGAGGTGAAACTTTCTAGAAATAAAGATCAAGATTACCAAATTTTACAATCACTAATTCAAAATAGGAGGGAAATGAAAATTGAATACAGTCTCAACCTACTATTTTGTGTGCTTATCCGTATTATTAGAATGACTTCACAGTAAAAGCTGTCCATAAATCCTAATCTCGCTACTTACATTATATAGTGATTACCACTTTAGTGTATATATACACTATAAACTATTCTCCTACAAAATAAAATTTACTCCTCTATTCAATAGTATGTTTCCAAAGTAATTATCTATTATTGCTTCAATCTTTAGACAAATATTAAACAAGGCTGAAAGAAAATTTATAATAGACTTTTTTTGTAGTAATATTAAAGACTGAAGCCACTACCTTTGCACTGAACTAGTATGTCCAACCCTTTTCATTTTGAGACACAGGGTTATGATAAGGTACCAAGTTGCCCAGGCTGGGATTAAATTTGTAATACTCCTGCATCAGCTTCACAAACAGCTGGGATTAAAGGCATGCATTAACTACGCAGTTAATAACAGACTTTAATATTAAATTGTAATATTTGCAAATACATGTAAAGGAAATACTAAAAGTACTATTTTTATTTTATTATTCTTATGCAACTCAAACAAAGTAAATGTTTGGAGCTATGAATGAATCAGTTCTGCATATATAGATAACACATTAAGTTGTGCTTCTGCCTTAGTCGTATAACTTGTGATCTTTTCAATATTCCCTTATACAAGGGAGACAACGGTAATAGTGTATTACTTAAATAAGGAAATTACTGAATCATACAATTAGTAAGGTAGTTGAAAAAATATTACAATTGGACATTAAGTGGTGTATAGATTTTCCATATATACATAGAAATATATATTGCAATATACATAAATACATATGAAAAAAATATAAATATATATGGAAATATATATAATATATATAATGACTTTAAACAGGTATAAATAGAATACATTCCCCTTTCCATTAAAAATAAAACCCACAGAGAACTTTCTTCAAAATTTAAAAATGTGACCACAATCATCACTCTTTTAATTTTTTCTTTAGTGGGAAGACAGAGTGAGAAAAAGAGAAAAATTAGCAGAAAATTACTTGCCACTCTAATTATGGAAAACACCTTAAAGAAAAAAGTATTTCCAGTAGTATCTATAGTTTAAAAATTTCTTTCAAAGCAGTTATTAATTCCAGTGCTGAGTTCCAAACATTATCTCAATATTCTTTTGAAAAAGGTTCCTGAGACACATCACACCCTTCCTCGCACACAAGCAAGCAGCCCCTCGCTCAACAGTGGCCTGACACAAGGACAAGATCATCCACCAACTTCAAGCCGGCTCTAAATTTTGCTTCCTCATGGCAGAGGGCAGCAGAGCTCCGCGAGGACTAACCAACACACCTGATCCTGGACAAGGACAATGCCCAAAGAGAAAACAACCAGACTCCAAGACTGTTGAAATTTAAGTCCAACAGTCCAGCTGAACCCTTTCCCTGCAGCCTGCATCCAGCAGAAACCTGAGGGCTGATTACATTTTCTTTCTACCAATGGCAGCAAAGACATGCATTGGCTTGGACAATAACCACAGTTCAGGATGAATGGACAGAGGGTCCTCTGACGGAGGGAGGGCATCTCAAAAGGCCATAAGCTCTAAAAGTAGGTAGAGAATGCAGATCTTGGAAAGAAACCACTCATTCCAAACATAGGAATCTTTTGTTCCCACAGTCTTTACTTAATTTTTAAAAATTTTTTATTATTTTTATCTTTCCATGCTTTTTTTCTCCCTTTTTTCCTCCTTTGCTTTCATTTATCTCCTTTTCTCTTTTCTTCTTCCTTATCTTTTATTTTCTGCATTTCATTCTGTTTATCTTTTTTTCTTCTTTTTTTTTGCTTGTTCTTTCCCATTACCCACATTTTGGAAATTTTCTGCAATGATTTCAGGGAACACACTTTTTATGCTATTAGCATGTACTTCTACACCCCTCTTTGGAGTCAATGATTCTTAAATTTATTCTTTAGAGATGTCTGGGAGCTCTAGGATAATATGTATGTATGTATGTATGTATGTATGTATGTACGTTTGTATGTATGTTATGTTTTGGGGATTGAACCTGGGCTTTTATGCTGAGCTACATCCTCAGCCCCCTTTTTTTTTTTTTCCTTAATTTTAAAGTTGCTAAGGCAGGGCTAGAACTTGTAATCCTCCTCTTTCAGCCTCCTAAAGTGTTAAGATTATAAACTGGACAATTTTTTAAATGTTTACTGTTGTGTTTTTATTACTACTAAGTTCTAAAATGTCTATTTTGTCTTCAAATCTTGATAATTCTTCTTCTGATTTACCTTGCCTACTGCTGAGACTTACAACTGAGTTTTGAATTCGAATTAATCTCTTCAGGGAAATGGTCTTTCATCTTCTCTTAATTCAGTGATCACTTTAGTAACTGATTCATTCAGATATTTGTTTCTTCTTTAACCTCATTTTACCTATCAGTTTTTAAAGTTCTTTCTTTGGAATTTCATTCACTACAGTATTTATGAGCTCAGCTTTTT